TTGCAGTGCTGCATCCTAACTTGCTGAAACACCAGGGAGGGCACTCCACAGCTAGCTTAATTAACTGGAGAAACTCTAGGTATGTATGCCATGTGCATAAGATATGTACATGAATTTTCATTGCATCACCAAAAACTGTAAGAGCCAGAAACAAAAATTAGAGTGTGAATAAAAACATTTTGATACATTCTCAAAATGAAATTTTTATAGCAACTAAAATGAATCCTACTACGACAGGAAAAAAAAACATTAAAAAACAAAATCAAGTTAAACTGTGTCTACTATGATAGTATGTGGTAAAGAAAGAATGCATTGTACTAAAATATTTTAAATGAATCAGTATTACTTAGTGATAAAGTTAAATATACATAAAAACTATTTTGTTTAGAAAGTATGGAAATAACAAGCACAAAGTACAAAATAATAATTATATCTGTGGGAATATGAAATAGAAGAGATGACATAATTACTCATATAACATTAATAATACCCTAATAGTATCATAATGTGGTTTATTATAGGTACTTTTGTTGTTTTATTTTGAATTATTTTATATAATGTTATGTATATCAAATATTGAATAACAGAATATAACTTCATATAAGGAAAATATTCATGACTAGTATTAAATTATTACTCATAAATAAGAATTTGGCACAGCTGATGTACTATGTTGCATTCTATGAATATTCATAAGTCAGTGTGTGTGCGTGTGTGCATTATTTTCTGTTTCACTCTCTCAGTATGTTTGTGGCCAACTATATGCAAAGTAGCATATATTTTTTTCAAAAATTGTTAGGTGTAGTTTCCATTTTATAAGCTTAATGTGGACAGATGTGTTGCTGAAATGAACCATCTAAGATGACTTCAGACAAATATGTGCCCATTATGTGATATGCTAATAATCATTGTGAGATGAGCCTAAATAATATAAAAACCAAGTGTGTTAGAGTGGATTGTGGCCATAAATCTTTTATGTCTTTCTAAATTTGATGTGTCTTCTTTTGTAATGAAGAGATGGAGTCATTTCTCCACCCTTTGAGCACTGGTTGACCTGATGATGTGCTTTGACCAAAAGGAATGTAGCAAAAGTATTTTTTGTTTTAAAGGTCCGGAGTATATGCTTCAAGAAACTTTTTAGGTTCCTGAAATTGTGATGGAAAGACCTGATCTGGGCTCCTGGCTTTTTCTTTTCTGAAGAAGTATATAGCTTTTCTCCCAAGAATTTCCTAAATATGATGCCAATGAAAAAAATTAAATAATCTTTCTCATGACACTAGTAAAAACAAAGGCAGCTATTGTGTACTCGCGCTATTAATTGCATATCCTTTGAACTCCACACATTGAATAATGTGCCAGAAGTGACCATTGAGTGTGTCTATGACAAATTACTATGACCCTAGTCCTAGTAGAGTGCTTAGCTCTTACCTAAATGCTATTTTAATCTGTTTAGCAGTTTAAATGAAATATGAATTTGCTGTTACATTGAAAATGGATTGGAGAGTATGAGGAACAGAGTAAGATAAGTAAATATTTAGATGCGATGATTACAGTCCTAAAATGACATGATAGTGCCTTCTTTAGGTGGATGGTAATGGGGAAATTGTTAAAGATGTATCTCAGACTATCTTTAACAGAAACTGTTGATGAAACAGATACGGAAAAGGAAAGAATGAATACAGAATGACTCATCAATTTATGAAATGAGTGAAAGTGTCAATGGTGCTGGTTTACTGAGTTGTGAAACCTTGAGAGCAAAACAGGATATGTAAGAGAAAACATCAAGAGCTTATTTGGATGTGTGATGTGCCTGTGCCATCCAATGAAAGATCTTAAATGGATAGTAGAATATGTGAGCTTACAGCTGCAAGTGGAGGTCTGACTAAAGACAAACATTTGGCCAGCATCAGCACAATTATGACATTTAAAAAGACAGAAATGAGTAAGGATGCGTAGAGAAGAAAACAGAAGCCAGAACTAGCACTAACAAATGCCAACAACAACAAATAAAAAGGTCTACACCGTTCAAGGTGTAACTCACCATATGGCATGGATTTGTTCAAATCTAAATCATGGTTTTTAGGGTCTGAATGTCTGGGTTTAAATCCTGTCTCTCCTATGTTGCCTTGGGCAAATTAATTGTTGTCTCAAAGTCTCAGTAATCTAATCTATAAAATATAATTTAAAATACCACCTACACTGTGTGACTATATGAATATTTAAAACACTAACTAAACATTTCTACATAAACTTACATATGTTATTTGTTGAGGAATTCTTAAATAAATGATGACCATCTAGGTGAAGTTTAATTTTTTTATTATTTTAGTAATTAATCAATACACAGTGACTCAACAAACCAACTCCTAATATTATTCATTTCCTTATTAGCTAGGAAGATGACATGACTGTATATGAGAAAATATGAAAAACAAAACTCCTGGGACTAATAACTGATAGCAAGGTGGCTGGCTATATAAGATTTGTATAAACAGCAAATCACTTTCCTCTGTGCCAGCATTGAGCAAGTGGGATTTGGAATTAAAAGCATAGCATCATTTACATTAACACTCAAAAAATGAAAAAGGCATACATCTAACACAATACAGACAATTCTGTATGTGGAAAACTACAAAACCCTAACAATGAAATTCTAACGAATAGAAACTATTAGATAGGGTATGTTGTTTTAAGCTACTAAATGTGTGGTAATTTTGTTACCCAGCAATTGACAACTGATATACTGGTTAAAATCTAAGCTCCACAGTGACAGGAATTTGGATTTTGCTGAAGCATTTGTCCATGTTGAATAAACATTTCTGTTTGCTATTTGAAACATTAGGGAACCTGGCTTTACCTCCTATGGACATGTATTGTTTCCTAGGGGGACTCTCATCTTGGGCTGTTGTTACTAGTTAGACTTTCTTTCATGTTTTATTCACCTTTGTTGAGGGAATTAAGCTAAGGGACCTATTTGTTTCCCATACATAAATAATAATTAAAAAAAAAACAAGATGGAAAACTATGCATTTGTGTAACAAAAATTCTATTTATAACTTAACATTCTTGTGAATGTAAGCTAAAGGGGCTTCATCTTCCATTTATAGGTCATAGGATCAAATTAAAAAAAAACCAATTTATATTAATGACTTAGTATTGAAATCATCTAAGAACTATATCATAAACCAAGTGGAAAACAACTTAAGGCCACTTTTTCAGTCTGTGTGTGCTTTTGTGTATGTGTTTTAAGTTGTAAGTTTAACAATCTGTATGCTTGCCTGGTGTAGAAGAACAGGTATCATATAAGCCCTCGGGCTTTGACTTACATAATAAAGCAATAAAACAGAAAATAGAATATAAAGCATGGCCAACCAGCCATGTAGATAAAGAAGACACAGTGCTATAAGTTGATGTTGCCAATATATACAATGTTGATTTACAAGAGAAAAGGGATTAATTGCTTCAATAACACTGATTCTAATGATAGCTTCAAAGAAAATTAATGAGAACATTGTGTCCAGATAGGATAACTACTACCACACAGTCAGTCCTAATTCATATTGAATGGAGTCACTGAGGTTATTTATTAGGTTTAGCTATGTCTTATGTGAGGCAAAGAAGAGTTTTATTGAAACTATGCCAAATGGTAAAGTTATATGTAAAATTCTAAGAAGTAAAACGTGTGTGGAAAACACAATTTAGCAATTTATTAAGAATACAGATGGTATTCTAGATTAAATCTAGGACCCTAGATTTATAATGGTTCAACTTATGATTTTTCAGCTATATGACTATGAAAAGGATCTATATTCATTAAAGACAAGATATTATTTTATGGTGTTGGGCAGCTGCAGGAAGATCCCCCTGCCAGTCAGCATTTCAACTTAAGAAATATATACATATATATATGTATATATATAAGATATATTTCAACTGAAGATATATATATATATATACACATTATGTCTGTATATGCACCTAATGTAATGTGGCTATGTATATACATGCATATATATAATAGGAATCATTTATCTCTCTATAATAGAAATGCGTGGTACTAAGAATTTCCCTATTTTATTTATACATGAAGATTTTATCTTATCAATCATCTATTAATTTTAAGAAATTCAGTCAGTAGGTTGTTTCCAGTAATCTTGTATATACACCAGTTTGCAAAAATCTGAGTTTATCATTTTTACAGAGTAAATTCCCAGCATAAATAAATTACAATTATTATCAAATTATAGAAGTACCTAAATAGTTTTCTCACAGATGCCATGGGGAACATTAGCATTTATTTTTCATGCTTAAATAAGGTTATAGGTTGCACAGTCTAAGATGCTGGCAGGTTACTCAGCACTAACGTTAATTAATATAATCCATAATTTAAAAACTCTATAAGGGATCAGTGATAACAATAAATGTTTTCTTAATTGCCTAATATTTAAAACAATAAATGTATACCCAAATATACCCAAAAGTTCAGTGTATTTCATGGAAGATAAGTTTTGATCATCTTAGATGATCATACCATAATATATATCTTTCCGTTATAGAAAAGTCACAATTACATTAATGATTTTATTATATTATTACCTCTTAAAGGTAACCGACAAGACATTTTATGTTAACAGACTAAAAAGAAATATCTTAAAATGGGTAGACTCTGCCAAGAACTTGTTGGAAAATAAATTTTAGCACTTGTTGAACATAAATGATGTGACTAGATTTCTTTATAAATAGTGGATATGTAAGTTATGCAGTAATTTATGAAATTCACAGTGTTAACTTAAATTTAGGGACAAGAAATAAGGCTCACTGGCATTAACTAGCTCAAACTGACACAACTAATAAATATTGGTGAGTAAGTGAATAGGTAAACATTTCCCACCAATTTTATCCACAAGTAAATAGAAAACACTATTATTTTACGAATGATTTGAGTATGCAATAAATGTATAATCTTTGCGATAGATACTTAAAAGAAAAAGCTGCCTTACCTCGAAAGCAAATGACAAGGAAGGGATCAAAGGTTTCAAGAGGCCATTTCTACACACCACTAGGCAAGTCAGGCAACGGAAAGTTTCCAGAACAGCTCCTTTAGGTCTGAAATAAAATGCCATTACCACTCATTAACCTTAAATATATTTTTTATGTGTTGATATGTTTTAATTAATATGTTCATAGAGATACCTTTGAGTTTTCAAGAACTACATAGTATTCTGGTATATTTGAGGAACAATGGCTTTTGAAGCTATTTGAAAACAGGCATTAAGTTAAGAAATAGAATGCATCACTTAAAGAAAATTTGTTCTTCAGAAATTAATTACTTACTTTGAGTACTGGTAAGTTTAGGTGGAGCATATTTCAATAAATGAATAAAACATCATACAATGAAATTTTTAGAGTATAAAGTAATTGAGATACCCTTTACTCATATACTACTGTTACCCTCCATTCATCAAAAAAATATGACTTGTAAGGAAAATCAACATAGTGTGCTCTAAAACAACATATAGTACTTTTGAAGCACTCAGGAGACGAGAGGAGAAGGGGATGGAGAGAGGGAGAGTACAGAATAGGCAGGAGGAGAATACACTGAAGTGTGGTGGAGGACTCTGGGCACTCTGGTGGTGGAAAATTATGGTGACCGCACCTGAGTGAGAAATCCTGTATCATTAAAAAAAAATCAAGGATGATTTTTTAAAAAGTCAAAAAAACAAATAAAATAATAAAGTCAAATTCAAAAATATTGTGAGTCTGGACAATATATAATTGTACCTAATATAATAGGCAGCATCACTCTAAATCTTGTTAAATATTTTGTGATGAATATAATCCATTTTTGGGTATTCTTGAAATCAAGACTCTAAAATATGTGTAATATATTTGTGTATTTGAAATAGTGTTGAGTGACACATAGATAAGCATTTATAAGTTGCTGTATAATGAAGTAATATATAACCACACTAACAGATAAAATAATGTGCTATTTGTTGTATAATTAAATGTTTGTTATAATATTGTTATAAGGTGAATTTTCTGAGTAGAGTATTATGGAATTTGTCATAATAAAGGTGCCTTTTATTTACTTAATTTAAAATGTAGCAATATGGAGAAATGATTGCTGATATCTTTATAAAAATTAATACATTTAACACTTACAAATTTAATTAAAATGGGGTCATAATTGCTCATTTGTTTGACTTCAAGTAATGTGATTTGACTTTTCTGTAGAAAAAATTTTCCACATAAAATAATATTTATGTAATTAATTACATTAGTAAATGCTATTTGAACAATTTTAAATTAAACAACAAAATGTCTATTTTAGAATATATCCAATTTTTATTTTGTCTTATAGCTTAAACTGTATGCTTTTGCTTTATAATATAAACATATACAAAAGGAAATACACAAAACAGTAGTATACACAAAACAGTAGTATAACAGTAGTTAATAATTTTCAACAGATAAATAACCACAGAACCACCATCTAATATCAGACCTCCACAAACACTTCTTTATGCCGCCTCAAGAATGTCTTTCTACCACAGGGCCGCTATCCTTTAATGATAATCACACCTTTGCTTCTGTTTGTTATTTATTTATTTACCATGTTAGCATAAATTCCTAAAAAAGTCTTTACTTTTATCTTTATTTTGCTGCTAAATGGGATGATACTGCCTGCACTTTTTTGTGCAACATTCCAGCATCTTCTATTCAATATTATTAGTGATATATCTAATGCTGCATATAAAGGTAGTTTGTTATTTTTACTCCTGTGTAAGATTCTATACTGTAATTATACTAATGTTCACTCATCCGTTCACCTCAGAAAGGACATTCAGGCTGTTCAAAGTATTTCTTTAGTATTTTGGAGAGTATTGGTGAGCATATACCTAAGATTGAGCTGTCAGATTATAGGATAAAGATATTTTCAAAATTAGTGAAGTTTTTCAAACCAGGAAGAAGATACAAACTTCCTACTTCATTGTGTGTCCAGGGCTACCTTTGGTATTGTCAATCTTTAAAATTTCATCCATTTGGGATATAAGATTTTTGCTACTTATAAAATTTGTAAACTTATAAATAGCCTTTTCTTCAAATTTTCATTGTTTTTCAATATTAGCGAGAGTTAATTTTTGAGCAACTGATTTTCTTAATCTTAGTATAGTTTAATTCATCACTTATATCTTTATGACTAGGGATTTTGTTGCCACTTTATATTTTTACCTGGCCCAATATTACAGAGCTACAATACTATGCTATGTACTATGCTCTATAATCTTTGTCATGTTTCTGTCACTTTCAATCTACAAATCCCTGACCCCATAACTAATTTTTTATGGGTGTGAAATATTTGTCAAATTAATTTTTTTCTTATTTATGTATAAAAATCTAATCTTTCTAAGATCATTTATTGAAAAGATGGTTCTCCTACAACTTGGCAGTCACAAATAAATTCTAGGGTAAGGAGCCAAATACAATTCATAATAAAATTATATATTTTTTAAAGTATTTAGGAACATATTAAAATTAAGTTTGAAACTATGATTGTTGTGAAGTATGTCAGCTATTTTACTCTTTACCAAGTATGTATAGGGAATGAATAAAACAGTTATTTTAATCAGCAAGTTTATTTGGACTTTGATCTTCATGAAACTCTAGAATCTCTGGCTAATCTAGAAAAGCCATCAAGCACATCTTGGGAGGTACATATACATAACATAAATTAAATGAATGTTTACTGAACTTTTATACTGAACGTTTCCTGAAAATAATTATTATTAATAATATACTAAAAACAATTACACTGTAACAAAGGCAACATTTCAAAAATGATTGCACTTTTTCATGGTTTTGCACAACATTACAAGTAAATTATACATGTCATTCTGAAGTCATATTGCTTGGGTGGGTGTTGTGTTTTCTTCCTGCCTACCTGAGTTAGATAATCTGAAAAATGCACGTTAAAATAATTATTACCTCAGAGTGTTTTTGTAAAAGTTTATAACATATTCCATGACATATATTAAGTATGTAAGCATTGGTATTAATATTCATATTAAATACCAAACAGAAAGGATGTATGTATTTCTATATAGGTCCTGCCATCAAAGCTTTTTAATTGTTCAAGTGAATGCATTTTTGGCTCAGATAGTATATAAAACATGTGTAACATTAAAGGATATGAAGTTTAAAAAATATGCATTCTGGCATAAATTATGAGCAAAGAAAAATATTCAAGTACTCAAGAGTTATGATCTATGTTTTGCCAAATTAGTTATTATATTTTATAGGTTTTCTTTAATATACTCAAAGAAACCTAAATTTCATTTAAAAGGCTTAAACTTAAAATGTACCCTTGGTCGAAAATCAGATAAACTTTTACTGTTTCATTTAAAATGAAGGCGTGGGTGGTAGTACAATTTTTTTCAACTTTATTTTTTAATAACAAATGTTTGATGACTATCAAATATAATGTAAAAACTACATTACAAAATTACATAAAAAGAAAGAATTTCACTTCTTGCCTTTGATCCAGAAGAAATCCAATGGAGGTCAAGGTAAGGATAATGAAGCAAACTCTCAGCAGGAGAGTGACCTGTGATAGTGCCTGTAACACAAACACAGAGAGCTTTGAACACTGTCCTCTCCAGTCCATTCACATTGTCCCCATTAAACAAATGGTACTTCCAACAAAGAACAAAAAATAAAAATGAACTACAGTAAATAAATAGAGTGCTGATGTAAGTAAATATAAATACATCTAAGTGAAAGAATAATATATACAATCTTGCTTGGAGGATTTATTTTCTTTCAAAAGCAACAGCACCCAAAGGAATTCTTCTTTCCACAAACTGGTTACTAGAGTTAAAGGGAAAACTCACTTAACAACTGCAGAGCTGCCTAGTCAACTTCCCTAAGTAGCTAACAGACACCTGAAATTAGCATGTCTAAAATCCTTGTATTTGACATCTTCATCATACATTCCTAAGTTTCTTCATTTTAGCAATGGCACCTCCAGTTCAACTGATACTCTATTCTATCCCATCAAGATCTCTACCACAACTGCAAAAATTAGTTTCTAAAACTGTGTGCATTCAGAATTATTCTTCTACAGGATAAGTCATAATATATCACATTTTTGTGCTAAATCATAAAGGAGCTTTAAATATCACTCAGAATAAAACTGAAAGTTCTAACTCTGGCCTACATACAACATACTCTCTATTGTCACACAATCTTTATGCCTAGTGATCTTTATATCCTCTACTCCTAAATCACACCAGAAATCTGTTCTTCCTTGAGTATGACATGCATTCTTCCTACTCAAGTCTGTTTGCTCAGCCTGGAATGACTTTTCCCCTAGCTATCCTTTTGGTTCTTTTCTTCATTTTATTGGGGTAACTATTTAAATGTGTACCTTTGTCCATCAAATATAAAATATTACCCCTCCATAACCTTATTCTATTGTTTTGGTTTCCAATTTATCACTTCCACACATTTACTCATTGTTGTGCCTTCTCTGTTGGTTGTCTATTCCTATTAGGGTGTTAGCTCCAAGAGAGAATTAATCTCTTTGCTCCTGCCATGTGACTATAACTTTGCCTATTAGTATACGATTACTGAAAGACTGACCAATGGAATGAATATTTCCTACTTGGTTAATAATTAATATCATGTTAATATTATAACATCTAACATTAAATATTTGAGTTCCTTAAATTAAACTGAATTATTTAAAAAATTAATGTTAATATTGTAAATGTTTCTAAATGCAGATAATAAAATTATTAAATACTTTAATATTCATTTATTCAATTTTCTCAAACATCAGTTGTTCTAACAGCCTTTCAGTTTAAATGAAACTAAGATAAACTAAAGCAGAGACTTAATATTGAGCACATTATACTTCTTTTAGAGAGTCCATTTTCCTAGGGAAATTTTCTTTTTTCATTAGTATACTTGATAGACTAATTAATGAATGAATATTTATTGAGCATGTGTTATATACTATGGTCAATAAGAGTGTAAGAGAGGGCTCAAAAAAGATAAAAATCCCTGCGTTAAAAATCATACTACTTTACTCCTGACTCACAAGTTAGGCTAGCTACACCAGAGAAAAGAAGTAAAATAGACATAAAAAGAAGAAAACCTTTTCTTCCTGAACATCATCCTCTCACAGGTGACTATCAGTCTACATACTATATCCTAATAATATATTTCTGTGTAACAAACTGTGAAAGATGATTTGATACATTTTGCTATGAGTTTATTCTATGAAAAAATCTAGATTCTGTTATCTAGCAAGGTGGAATATTTTGGGGAATTTCTCTAAAAGGTCTGAGATGAGTTATTAAAGGTGTTATTTTGATTAGGAATGCTCTATCATCCCTATGACATCCCCACAATTCTGCACTACCTTTCTTAGACTGGATTTGTGATCCTGAAAATCTAAGTCTTAAAGATGCTTCCTGGTAATATAGCATAAATACAGGGACAGGAACCAAGGGGCTGCCGTCATGCTAATTGTAATTCTAAGTAAATCTGAAGAATCTATCTGGAAGTAAGATCTTGGTCTTTTAAAAAATTGTCAATATTAGTACACTGTCCCTTTTTACTTAAATTTTCTAATACCCTAAGTGCTTATTATTGCAGAATTCCAAAAAAAAGTCTATGATTAGAGTGAGCATTTTCTAAAATTTTAAGCAAATATATCAAAGGTGAAATTGCACAATGATGTAAAAATAATAAATATATAGTTCAGAAAGACTTAATATGGCAGTAGTATAATTTTCTACAAAAATTTATAAGAAATAAAAGTCAAAAAATTGCAACCTCATGAATCACTGGACTTTGGGTAGAGAAAAGCAAACATTTTTTTTTCATTAACAAACAATATAAGCAATATATATTTCAGCTATTTCCCAAAATACAAAAGAATAAAAGATGTTAAGAAGTTGTTAGAAGTACCCAAGCATGAAGGAGGAAAAGGAAGGAGAGCATAGATGACTATGGCACAGGACTGTGGTCATGATCATCACACCAGAGGAGAGAAATCCTGTGGTGTCAAGATGGTAACCAAGGTGTAAAACAATGGTAATCCATTAATAATAAATAAATAAATAAAGACAAGGATCTCTCAAGAAAAAAACTTTCTTTTCATTAAGATTACTTTTGATAATGAAATCATTAGCAATAAGTATGTATCTAGACTTTGAGTGTTCACAGTTAAATTTAAAAGTCCAATTTTCACATATTTTTGATAAATCACAATGGCATCTTAATTCAAGTGATATGCATCTTATGATTGATATGTTTATTATATGATGATTTTAAAAGAGCTGTCTGATAATGGCAGATCTACATTTGGAAAAATACTAAGAGTATGAACAAATATTTAATTTCACAGTTAACATTTTATTATTTGATATAAATGCCATATTTAAATATATAATTTTACAATTTTTATATATTTTTATATTTCAATATAGTGAACAAAACTTTATTTTTCATTGCAACTTGTAATGATTATTTCTTTCTTTCTAAATCCTATGCTTTTTAGACAGGTAACTTGCCTAATATCCTCCCTTTAATACATATTTATTACATTCACTTTATGGCTTTAAATTATAACTGATGCTCATTTCACTCACATTTCTTTTTTTTTTTTTTCTTTATTATTTGGTAACCCTCTAAAAACTTTAGGAAACTAAAATCCCAGGGGCTTCACTGGAAAAAAAATATATATATACTCAATATTGACTTAAGAGGTTTCATGCAGGACCTATGCTAGATCTAATTTGAGCAAGTGATACTTTTGTTATGTGAATACAACTAAACACATTGCATTTTTCAAAGGGTCTGATAAAACATGTCAATATGAAAACTTCAGTTACAAAATTGTGATGTCCATATGTTTTACAGAGTACAGCAATCAGAGAAATTTAAAATGATACAAATTTGTTTCCAAATTTATACTGTTTATTTGCAGATGCCTCATTAATTTGAAATATATCATCAAATAAAATTTGTGTTCAAAACATCTGCAGTAATTTTAGTATACATTCTATTTTAAGAATCTTACATAAGAATTCAAGCTCTTTTGTGTATGTCCATTATTTAAGAGGGTAGCACTGTCTTTAATAATTTCTCCTTGGGAACATGCTCGCTACTGTGTTCCTATTTTCATTTCAAATGCACATTCATGATATCACCCCATGAAGTGGACTCTGGCAGCTGAGGAACTAATTTCCTAAGCATTACTAAACCAAAATCAACACAAAAGTCTGTGGGTCATATCACTAAGCTAACCACTATATATTTAAATGTATGCATTGACAGTTTTGGTAAAAAAGGAATGTGCTTTTTACACTTTTGTGGTGGCCATCAAATTGCTTTTTTGACTGCCAATGTTATTTATACAGAATGTGCACACATAACACAAGTAAGTATTAATCTACTCTGGTATATGCATAAACAAAAAATGCTGTGGGACCACAGCAGGGTCCCCAATTACAAGTCAGCCACAACTTTTCTGTGTGATTACTGGCTGCAGAGAATCTGGAAAAAAAATATTGCTGTTGGATTTTAATGTCTTCGTATGCTTTTAAACATTTCTGAGACTAAAAAGGCACTATAGAATTTTGAAAATAAGCAACCTTTTTTTTCCAATTTGCACAGCATGTTTTTAGCAAAGAAAAGTATGTGTGGGAAGTTAGCAAATGTACCTTTCAGAATTAATTTGTGTCAGGAATGAAACTGTCTCCAACTCTAATTTCCATTTGAAAAAGATTTCAACACTAAATATTTTTTGTCAATATATCTACATGAATTTCTCATGTAAATTTTTTTCTAAAGCAAAAAAAAAAATCTTGTGACAACTATTATATAACTCACGTTATACATAGTGTTTAGCTTCATTTTGTCCAGGAAGCATCTTATATATTCTTAGATATTCACATCTCTTGAGACTTATTTTTTAGGATCTCTGTACAAAACTAAAATCAGTAACTTTCTACTGTTGTTTCTATGACTCAGTAGACTGATTTTGGAATCTCATTAAGTACAATTTAAAAAATTCAGTAATACAAGTTGTATTCAATATTGATTATTATTAGAGTTAGATATTTGGGTAGAAATGATCAAACTTGCATTCAAACTTGATTCACTCATGCATATTTTTAGGTGAAGAAATTAAGACAACATTATTCAAAAAGTCATCAGTGATGGGTTAGTTATGCAATACTTGAAAAGAAGACTACAGGTCTTAGGTTAAACAATTATTGTAACCATCACTACAGTGTGATAACTGTATGAGCACTGCTAAGAGTGACTTATCAATAGTACATGTAGTTTTTAAGTAAGTTTTGATCCCCAAATTACAGGGTTCAGATCTTTTCCCTTTGAAAATAAAAACAAAAACAAATCTAGTTCAAATATAGTACTGGTTTTGCTATTAGTGGTAGAACACGTAAAGAAAAATAAACAGTAAGTCATTCTACTTCCTACATTATATTCTTAAGACTTCTGGCTAGATAATGTTCTAATATTTTCATTTCACAAAGTGGAAACTAGAATTTCAGTCAGTGCTTTCTATGGCAATCAGAAAGCACATATTTTCCCAAACTATATGAGGTCACTATTTGTATGAACATTTGTTTATTAAGGCAAAAAAACCCCACAAATATTGATGAATACCAATAATTAAAAATCTTTAAATAATGCTAAAATGTAAAATGTGTTTTGTCAATATATTATCCAGTAGTCTCTATAATAACTTTGTGTATATCTATTTTATTTAGCAAGGCACACTGTGACATATACTATTAGTTGCCTAATCAGAAAATATCCCCCATTTCTTCTGTATTAATTCTAAGCTGTTGACTTTACACAGGTATAAGGAAGGATTGTGCTCTGGGGAGAGTGAACTCTTTATCCCTGGGATATGAATTATGCACGGAATATTTCGTTCATGGTTAATTCATAACCTGGTGTTAGTTAGTTCAGGATGGGCATGTGAATTAGTCTTGAGCAGTGAGACATGAAAGAACATTTGCTGGGAAATGTTCTGAGACTTTTTCCTCCTCCTTAAAAGAAACTTAGAAGATATTCTAGGAGAAATGAACATGCTGCCTTTGGTCATTGTCTGTGAACACAAGGTGCCTAGAGTTGCTGTAATTATTTTATGAAGATAGAAAGCCAAGTGAATTGTAGAAAATCCTTTAAAAACTTCCATATTTGATCTACTGAAATAAAAAATCCTGCAAACTCTTAACTCTGAATTTTCAATTACATTTAAGCATCCCAGTTACATTTAATTGGATTTTGTTTCTTAGGGCAGAATATATCTAGTAGACACTCCTGCCATGAATATCCAAATAAAGGAGTATCTTGCATGAAACATTTTATGCTACTAGGCACTTGACTAGTATGCAAAGTGTGTATGAACTGTAAACAAGTTTATATTTTATTTACAAATAAGAAGGAATCCAATAGATCTAGCATTCATTATTTTTTCCTATTTGAATTTGTTTCCCTCTTTCTATGTGTTATAAATCTCAAGTGTTTTTTCACAAGTCATCCTTTTTTCCTCTCAGATGGGGAGAATACTGTAGAACTGATCGTCTGTTCACAGACTAACTGATCGATTGTCAGGCATCATCATACTGATTTTTTCAGTAACATCCAGCATTAGTCAGTCTCTAATGTGGTTCTTTCACTTTGGGGGATGCTGGAATTGCTGATAGCTATACTGTCTCAATAAAGGTTGATGGAGTCTGTATGGAAATATGCACTGAGAAAAGCATAAATGCAGGGGCTGGGGGGGGGGAACTAAAATATTCCTGATGACATTATTTAACTCTTTGGATTCTGCTCTACTTGAAAAGCCCTAAATTCTTGAGTTATATGAGCTAATAAATTCACTCTTTGTTGCATTTCTGTCACATACAACTGAAAAGTCCAAACACTCAGAAACCCACTTCTTTCTTTTAATTCACTGTCATTTGGAATATTTAAGAACTGCTCCAGTGGAATTTTTATGCTGGGATTATTATAATAATTTCCAATTATTAAGCTTTATTTTATATATTATATTGATTAAAATTATTAAAAGTAACTCCACAGTAGTCATTTTGTACATGCTTATTATTTTTTATTAATTATTTTATGGATAAACTAATACTGGATAGACTAATTACACAGATTTATTTCTTGAAAAGGTAATTGATCTTTCCAAAATTCAACTTCCCACTGGCTCTTAGCTTTGTTGCTGATCCTTTCAGGTTTTCTCCAACAAGAATTACTTGATGCCCTGGGACAGCTGTGAGGATTTGTACTCAATTTCCTCATTGGATTCACATTTTCTCCACATTTTTAGTTTCTAAGAAGTATCTCAATTTTTTTTTTTTGCCAGCTGTTTGCACAATGCATTCAAAGAATGTTTTTTATTGTGTTTTATGCAGCAATTTTAGGTGTTTTATATACCTTAAAAAGAAACAGGTGTATATAAATGATTATTTTTCCAAAATTTAGAAAACCCCTCATATTTCTTTAATTTCTTTAATTTATAACCATTATTCATACAGAACTTTGGTGAGAGACCTCAACATTCCTAACTCAGTGAGGTTATTTCACAAGGCATGTATTTTCTGTTAACAAAGACATGAAATTTCTTTACTATTCTTGTTTTTTTCCCCCAACTTAACTCTCTTCTTCCAACTTAGTTACTTCACCATAATTTATGTACCTCTTTAGACTTTCACAAATCCTGTTTGGAAGAATAAAATAGAAATAAATCTGTAAAACAAGTAGCTAAAATAGCTGTTCATTTTTTCTTCCCATAGCTTATCATGCATTTGTACATATATGTGTGTGTTCTCTTCAAATAGAAGACAATAAGGTTTTTAGAGATCATTTCTATGTGTCCAGAAAAATGGCTCCTTGGTGGTAACACCTGAATTACCTGACCCAGTGTTTTTATATTTTCATAGAACAAACTGGACATTCTGAATGTTCATGAAGAACAGTATAAGCTCTACTTTGAAGATTCTCTAACGTACAGGTACCAGGTATTATCCAATCACTGCATGTATGTTGAAATTGATACAATGTATGCTTCCCAAACACACTTTATCCTGACTTCTAATTTACTCATATTGAGGATTTGTGTGTGTGTGTGTGTGTAAAATAATTCCCTATTTGCAACTAAGATTAATAACATACCTTCCTAATAACATTTTAGACAGAAATACTTTCTAGGTAATTTATGTTTAGTAGTCTATAAGAATTAAATTATATATTTTAATGTGAGATATTTCCAAACATTTACAGAGAAAAATTAGAGCACAGCTATGATTTGTAAAACTTTTCTTTTACAAACAAAATAACAGATAATGTTCTCATACTCTAAAGTGTGATAGCACTTACAGCTCTGTTGGTAAAGGTCTCTTCATAAAATACTAGCATCAGGACAAACTGTATAACTGCATATATCTGTAATAATTTAGATGCCGATGAGGAGAAGGGAACTTCTTTTCCTGTGACCTAGGTATACAAGAAAGAAATCCATTCTTCATGTTGCTCCTTAACTTATTTTTCTCACTGAAAAATACATTAAGGCAAGGTAAAACTGCAAAAAGAAATGAAAGGTTTTGCCTTAAATTTCCCCCAAAAGACTCTCACATTCATTTTTTTTGGATAGAAAAATGTGAAAGTCAGGAGACATACTTTTCAAAATTTCAGAATTATAATTTGTGTTTGTCTGCTTTATATAAGCAATGTATGAATTTACCAATGTTACTGTTAAATATAATCAAAATAAATGTGAAATACATTATTTGTATAATTATACATGAAAGTATAGCAAAATAAAAATGATTTGAGTTAATATTGATAAATATGCCTCAAAGGAAAATAATCCTTTATTGGAAAAAAATTTCCCAAATGAAGATTTCTCAGAATTACTGCAATTCTGTTTTTATATAATGTAGATATAGACATTGAAGGACCTTAAAATAATCACTTTGGATAACTAGTGAAAAAAAGGCAATTAATGAACCAAAGTAACTAGACTTTATTTCCCCCTCTATCAAATTCACTCATGATGTTATATAACTGTGAACATACCCAAAAGTAACTGAGAACTTTCAAAACTATAGTCTTCATAATTAGATTAGAAATAAACGTCAGGATTTTGAAAAGCTAATAAAATTCACATAAAATATATTTACTTGATGGGAAACTCATGGGGAGTACAACTGAGATGAAAAATGTACAAAGTGATGCAAAAATAAACTATTCTATATAATGCACACATATATATTTACTTATTATTTCATTGGAATATTAATTTTTACTCAATTATCCTTGCAGGCAGCTGTCACTTCATTTTTCCATTGTTTCCATATTAATATTAGGATTTTTAATTTACTTTTTTGTTTGTTTATGCAGATAAGAAATGGGGTATAGAACAGAGTTGTGGAGGGTGAGAGGATTCACCAGAGACAGAGTGGGGAACAGAACATGCAGGTCGACTGGATTACATGGCTGAGGGCAACTCTGGTGAGACAGGAGAGGGCTGCTGCGCCATGTGGATCATTCCCTGGCTGGGGAAAGAACTCAGGCCACAGTGGCTGGTGATAGTTCGATAGAGCTGACATGTTAATCTCTGGGACATCATGGAGGCCCAAGAAGTGTTACTTTGATAAGAAATCATAATAATATCCTGCAGAATTAGAAATTCTGTTGTTCAGCTCTATAAGAACAATTATAGACTGAACTTCCATTTTTAATTTGGTTTCTGGCATCTTAAAGATCTTCACCTTGCCTATTTTTCCTTTTTAATGGAATTTCTCTATTGAATGCCACCACTGTGCCTTAGTAATCCGATTGCCATACCATCTTTCTCTGACTTTAAACCATCCATTTTAGAAATTTTAGTTCTCAGATTTTCATGGAAAAAGGAAGGATAGAATGCATCATCCTAAGGACCCCTCTATCTCAGGTGCTCCAGAATTCTGTGACCCAATTTTATGTGTCTGGGATGTATCTGTGTTACATAAATGTTCTTTATAATGGATTAGTGGATTGGAAAACCAGCCATAACTGCTTAATACACCATTGACTCCCCCACCCAAGTGTTTGCCTGGAAGAAGCCACCCTATTATTGGCCCCTAGTTGTGTTCATTAATTAAACTTTACAACTAGGCTGCAATAAATCTATTTCCAAAAAATTTACATATATCCAATGGGGTGACCTTATAATGTAAGACAAAGCTTCCTCCATCACCAAACCCCAAGAATTCTATTTACCTCTGGAATTTCTTCACTCAGTCCAAGCCTTGGTTTACCTGGACCCCATCCTGGCCCTTTAAATATGACAGAAAACTTATTGAAGAATCCAGGTGTAGCCCAGAATGTAGTCCATATGTAAATTAAGTGGTGGAACTAGAAAAATGAACATAAAGCTCATTTAAAATAGGACATAACAAAAATTATTAAATACAATAGATCATGCATTATTTTATTATTCAGTGTAATTCATACATTTTCCCTTAAAAATTATATGTCAATTAATTCAGAATAATATGCAACTGCACTCCCGATTGTAATTTATTCTATGCATTCTACATTCTGTTAAGTTTACATATGTTGTCAATATTTCTGAAGTAACATAAAGTTATAATTTTGAAAGTGAAAAATTATATAATGGGTCAGAAAATCAGAAAAGTAGAAAAAAATAGTTAAGACATTCCTTGTAAAGGAATTAACTGGAAAATCATAGGCATCTTTCCTAAAGATGATATCTTCATCTTGCTAAATGAATGTAGAGGTTGACCATGGAAATACGCAAGTATGGCATGTGTATTTAAGTATTTTTTAAATAGCCCCTTGCTTAGTGTATTAAGTTATAGATAATGTCATATGATGGAAGAATGTCCAAAACCATTACTCATGGTAGATTTCTGTATATTAGACCATATTCTATAATAAGAAAAGGAAAAGTATGCTGAGTAAAGAATTCCCCTTGAGACTTATAACAGGAATGATATTCTGTTTTTCTTCCATTTTGAAAAGATTTTTTTAATTGAGTTAACACTGACTTACATTATTATTAGAATTTTGGAATTATGGGATTTCTCCCACCCAGTAAAACCAGTTCAAACATAGTCTACCATCATGAACCGCTGTGTTCCCTTTCCTCTTTCTTCTCATGTTCTTTAAATAACACACATTTGATAATACAAAAATTAAAAGTAGATCTGCACAGAAGTATTCAATTATATTATGAATGTTACCTATACATATTAGAGGTGTGATAATTACACATCATAGGCTTAAATATATTTCCAGAAGTTAGGAATTAGAGACAGACTCTATAGAGATATGTTCTATTGTAATGTAGTAATAAATTAATATAGAAAGATTTGGATCTATCTGAATTTGTGAGCTCACTGATTTTTTTTTTTTCAGTTTCTTGAAAACTTTAAACTTCTAGGAGTAAGAGTTTGTGGTTGTTGTTGGTTTTTTTTCCATAAAAGGGGTTCAAGCCAGAGGTGGTGAGAGGATTCACCAGAGACAGAGTGGGGAGCAGAGCAGGCAGATCAACGAGGTACACTGCTGAGGGGAGCAGAGGCAAGGGTCAGGAGCCATCTGCCACACCATGTGATCACCTCCAGAGCTGGGGTTAGAACTCGCACTGAAGCAGCTGCAGCTAGCTTGCAGTGGTGTGTCCTCACCCATTATGCCACCAGGGAGAGCCTAGGATTAAGAGGTTTTAAAAGTTGCTTGAGACTTCCGGAAGATGGCGGCAGAGTAAAGACGCCGAGATCACCGCGTCCAAGCCGGCATAGGAATTGAGGACCGAAAACGGACTATAGACTCACT